CCTGGAAATCGCTATTAAACGGAGATCTTCTGTTGCTAGGGTATATCATAGAATTCGGATTCCAGATCTCCTCTATTCTTTCTAGATCGATTACAGTTAGAATGCAACAAAAATATCATCCTCAGTTATTAAAAATTTTTAATTTTCAGTTAAGATTTTCTTCCAATTTAAGTCAATTCATATAATTATTTTAAAATATTTCAAGCAAAGTAAGATATCAATGATAAAAAACAAAAAAATAAAATAAAGGGATACAAAATATTTATTTAAATTTTATTCTAAAAATTATTTCAGTCATATTCATATAAATTATCTTATTATTTATTTCAGGCAATATTCGGGCAATTCCATACCAAATCGATAACTTTTCGGCCCAACTTTTTTAATTTCGATAAAATTTTGTATGCTGAGAGAATATCATTCAAAAGCATCCAAAATTTTAGCTTCCTAGTACTCATAGTTCCAGAGATATCAAATGGTCAAAAGTGCCAAAAATGACCTTTTTTCGAAAAATATGATTTTTTGAAATTGAGATAAGTTAAAAAATAATGATTTTAAAAATATAAGTTATATGTCATTTTGTAACTCTATTAAAAGCCTTTTATTAAATATTAAGGATTTTTTTGAAATAATATTGTTGCGGTTTTTATTTACGTTATAAATTTTAAACATAAAAATTCGAGGTGTTTCGCTTTCCAAATTTTTTTGAATTTAATATTTTTTTAATCTCTAACCTTATATATATTCAAAAAAAAAATTTTAACTTGGGACAGCCATGGGTTTTTTAGTTATTACGATTTAAAAAATCAAAAAATAAATATTTTTTTAAAAAATAGATGGCGCTCCTTTATAAAATAAGGTGTTTTGTTATAATTATTACTTTTTTAAACTTTTTTTCACTTTGAAACATAAATTATAAGATTTTCCAGCATTACTATCAGGAATTTTTTTTTAAAAAAATTTCGGACTGGGCCGGGCTTGAAAAATAGGCTCGATGCTGATCACTACTTATTATTATTGCTATATTGATAACTTGTAAAAATTAGTTTTTATAATAAATGATTAAATTACCTAAAAAGATAGTTAAGATTCCGATATCTCATACAAGAAAATATAATAATTAATTGTTGAAGGATAAAAGCTAGTTTTCATGTACCTGCCCTAATATTAATTAATTTTTATTTTACAAATATTTTGATATTAATTATTTTTCTTCTTAAAATTATATGTATAAATATAAATGAGTAAATCCTTTTAAAGAATCTAAACACTTTAATTATAAAAAGAACCTGCGCAAAGTCATGACGTGGATGACACAATATCCAAACATTGAGACGGAACATTATATTTGTGATAAATGCCGTAAAAGGTTATCACAAAAAAATATCGAAAATATAAATTCTGATAGTGAATATGTAAATAACAGCATCAACATCAATAGATAAAATCAATATAACTTTAAATGAAATAGGAATATCTCATATTAAGAAAAAAAAACTAACCGAAAAAAATTATCCAAAAAAAAGGCAGCAAAAATAACAAAAGCGATTACAGATATAATAATTAACAATCCAGATTCGGATACGAAAGATAATAATGATATACTCAATAACATGAAATTACAATATCCCAATTTATCTAAAAATAAAAAATATCAATTGCTGACCATTCTGCCTCCTAATTGGAGCGCAAATAAAATAAAAACGACATTCAACGCTACATATCATATGGCATATAATTCCAAAATCATTTTAGAAGAAAAGGGGAGTCTTTCTACTCCAAATTGAAAGCCTGCAAAATATCTCAATCAAAAAACAGTTGATATTGTTAAAAAAAAAATTTGCAGTAGTGATGAAGTTAGTAGGTATTACCAGGAAAAAAAGATTGCATATCTATCATTGAAAAGGGGGAACGAGTGAAAGCTCAAAAAAGGTTAGTTCTTAATAATTTGAAAGAATGATATATAATCATTTTAAGGCGAGTAATTCAAACTTAACGATTGAATTTTCGAAATTTGCTAGCTTAAGACCAAAAAATTGTATATTAGCAGGGGCTAACGGAACACATAGTGTACGCGTTTGTAGCATACACCAGAATATTAAACTTATGATTTTAGGCTGTGAATTAGCAACATTGACTAAAAATGGTGAGGATACATTAACAACTTAAAGAGATGTTATAGGCAGAATGATTTGCAATCCCCTGTTACCCACCTGTTATTTTGGTGACTGCAACGAATGTCCTGGCTCGGCACTCTTAAAAAAACACATCGAAAAATTAAAAAAATGATATAGCTCTTGTTACTTTTAAACAGTGGGTTTCGGTAGATAGAACAACTCTTAAGACTATTTCTCAATCTTCAGACGAATTTATTAATTATTTTTTCGATAAAATGAATATTCTCATACACCATTCATTTATTTGTGAACAACAAAGTTCATTTCACAATAACCTTAAAAATAGTTTAGAAAATAATCACTATCTAATTATTTGTGACTTTTCAGAAAATTAATCCTTTATTGTCCAAGACGAAGTTCAGGGTTATCATTGGACAACTACGCAAGTTACGTTGCATCCATTCTCAATTTATTATAAAATAGGAGATCAAATAAACAATCTAAGTTTTGTGGTAATATCGGAATCCTTAATTCATAATACTGTTTCATTCCATTTATTCCAATCGCATTTGATTATTTTTTAAAAAAAAAATTCGACACTCCACCAAAAAAATTCACTACTTTTCTGATGGTTCAGCAGCGCAATATAAAAATAGGAAAAACTTCATCAATGTTTGCTACCATGAAATCGATTTTGGTGTTCAAGCAGAATGGCATTTTTTCCTATGGCACATGGTAAAAGTGCCTGCGACGGCATAGGCTGCACAGTAAAAAGGTTAGTTGCCAAGGCAAGCTTACAAAGACCTTATACTGATCAAATAATTACACCTTTACAATTTTATAAATATCCGGAAGAGCATATAAAAGATATAAATTTTTCTTATGCAACTATACCAGATTATGAAAGAAGAGATAAGGCTAAGTGAGAGATTTAGTAAATCTATCTCAATACCCCGGACACAAAAAATTCATGCAGTATTTCCGATTGGCTTAACAAAACTCAACACTAAACTATATTCTAATTCGCAGACATTTATTGTGGAGAATATAGTATATCCACGTGAAGATCCATTGTTTGAGGATATATTAATCGATGAGATTAGAGGATATGTAACATGTGCATATGAAAACGATTGGTGGTTAGGATTTGTGCAAGAAGTGAATTAATTAGAGATGAAGTAAAAATTAATTTTCTTCACCCTAAAGGACCAGCAAATTCTTTTGTTTATCCAGCTGCACAAGATATCCTTTTCATACCAAAAAATAATATTTTAACAATAGTTAGCCCATCAACGGCTACTGGGCGTAAATATAATTTATCGCAAAACGAAATTATCATGGCGTCAAAAAAACTAAATTTAATGAAAAACCGAAAATAGGTAATATCTTTCATGAATTTTAATTTATCTATTATATCTTCAAAATTTATAAAATAATTTTTCGAAAATTAAAATTTTTTTATAAAAAAAAATAATTATAACCGCAGCTAAATATTTATGAATAGATATAAGGTTAGAGAATAAGAAAATATTAAATTCAAAAAAATTTGAGCGAAACACCTCGAATTTTTATGTTTAAAATTTATAACGTAAATAAAAACCGCAACAATATTATTTCAAAAAAATCCTAGATATTTAATAAAAGGCCTTTAATAGAGTTACAAAATGACGTATAACTTACATTTTTTAAATCATTATTTTTTAGCTTATCTCAATTTCAAAAAATCGTTTTTTTCGAAAAAAGGTCATTTTTGGCACTTTTGACCATAGATATCTCTGGAACTATAAGTACTAGGAAGCTAAAATTTTGGATTCGATGCTTTCGAATGATATTCTCTAAGCATGTAAAATTTTATCGAAATTAAAAAGGTCGGGCCGAAAAGTTATCGATTTGGTATGGAATTACCCATTCACATTCAAGGAGTGGAAAAGAAAAGAGAAATAATATATGCACTGAAATGTTTTCTAAAAATAATTTTAGTCAATTCATGTAATTATCTTGAAATATATGCATAATAAGGAAAGAAATAGAAAAGGAAGAAAGAAAGAAAGAAAGGAGAGATCAAAAAAATCAATATAATTATTGAGACTTTCTTATAATAATTCACGTAATTTTATTGAATGATTTCAGACAACAAATATGCATTATTGCCTGAGTTATTCAATATGTGAATAAATTATGTGAATTGAATCAGTCATGCGTATTGTCTGATTTTCACACGAATTGTGTTTACGTTATATATTTTTACAAATCCAAGAATTAACAATTTTTTAAAGTATTATTTATCTTATTATATTTTTTTATTATTATTATAGAGATTAAATTTGCATTCTATAAAATTCAGTAGCCAATCTGGCCGAGTAAATAAATAAAATTTTAGATAAGGTCAGGTACTAGTGTATTAATTGAATCCAGCATATCTCTAGTTAATAAAGTTATAAAACAAATTTTTAAGCAATGCCAACGCTCGGATTATTTCTAAACAGCTGTCTGTTTGGCTGTCTATGTAGCTTACTTAACATCCTAAAAAAAGGGCTATTTAGATTTTAGGAACCCGTATCAATCCTTTGTTTTATTTGTAACTAAAAATATATAAATAAGGTTATACGGCTTTAAGGACACCTTATTTTGGTTTGTCTTAAGTATTTATTGGCACTATTTTCTTTGTTTCTTTTATTTTATTTTCTCTGCTTTTTAAGATGTCTGGTCGAAGCTATATAACTAGCTGTTTGGAAATAAGTCCAACCAGGACACAGCCTTAAAGCTTAAATCTGAATTTCAAACCATTTTCATTGTTAGCATTATTATAATACTTATTAAATACTTTTAAAAATAATCAGATTAATTTAGATTTCTTATCAATTTATTTGTATTTAATTTTACCATTGAAAGTTGCTCAGACTTAACGTAAGGTGAATTCATGCGTGTACTTCTACGTTTAACATTTTTAGGTGCTTCATTTATTTTTTTAGAGATATATATATATATGTATATTTAACATCAAATACAAAATAAAAATATTTCATAAAAAAATATATTATGTTAACTTTTTTTCATGGCAGAACTCTCGATGTTAAAATTTGTAATATTAATAAGTTTTCCGACAGATTCGAAATCAATCAAATCAGCATTTTTAGTTTCCACTTTTACCGATTTAGTCCTATCTTGATCAACTGCGATGCGTTCCAATGAGATAACAATTCTTTTACATAGTAGGTGTTAAAAAAAATATATCGAAAGGGGATCGAATATTAAACACAATATATAAAATATTAAAATTAATATTTTTTTCAATTTTTTCTTTTCCATTTCTCTCTTGCCATCAAATTTTAGAGTGATTTCTTAAGAGCATTTTTAAAACAAATACATGCTCAATTAATTTTCAATAATATAATTTAGATGCGCCAAAATCTTTTTTAAAAAGCATACATATTGTTGGCTCGTTTTAGACTAAAACATTATTTTTTTATAGATTTGGCATAAGGTGATAATAGTGCCGAAGTAAGCGAATCTAAAAATCACATTTCTATTCGAACAGCTATTTAGAATTCTTAAAAAGATAGGAAGCACCCTTATGGTGTTTTTAAAATGTGGAGCTTGGCTCGTTTTTATCATTTAAGGGCAATAAAGTCATTTTTTGTATATAATAGGGCGAAAAAGTGTTTTGCTAAAAGAAAGGGTGCTGATATCAAAAACAAATTCAACTAAAAAAATTAACGATTTACTGATCAATATTTGATGAGAAAATATCGTCATCGTCCTTATCTGCTTTGCGGTTAAGTTTCCATTCGGAAAACTTGACTGGCCTTTTATTAGGTTTATTGGCGGAAAAACGTTGCGAAGACTTTCTTTTATGTGTTCTTTTGACAGCTATGCTTCTAGGCGTTTTTAAATCTGTAGACCCTTTGCTACTTTTGGATGATTTCTTAAAATAATAAATATGTACAATATTATAAATCTTAAATATTGTATCTTTATGTTTTAATAAGATGACTGAATCCTATCATAATAAATTCTTCTAAAGGATCTGTTTATTTTTGCCCAACTGATTACATTAGTTTTTTAAGGCAATACAACTTTAATTAAAAAATAATAATTATTAAATATTTTTTTAATTATATATCAATGAATGGAATTAATAAGAAAAAAAGAATTATTCGTTAAACTTTCAAAGGAAAAAATTCATTTGTATACATTTAGTCAACAAAAAAGGGGTTAAATTCAATAAGATAATTAATATTAAATACTTTTCTTGATAATGATCTTTCCGATGGAGTTTTTTTGGGAGCTAATGATATTTTTTTGTTACAAATTAAAATAGCAATCAACTCTGTATAGCAAATTCATAAAACGGGAATATACATATTTTTTCATCTGATCAATCAATAAATATGGCAGTTTAACCTATGTAGCATTTTTTTTAAAAAAAGGCATGACTGCTACTATCAATCATTACAACTTTGAAGAAAATTATTAATTTTTTTAGTAACAATGCTACAATATAAAGAAAATTTAATTTTATGGTTAGGCTAATGAAGGTTAACTCTACTGAAGCTTGAACTTAAAAAAAGAAAGAATTTTGCAATATTAAAAAAATGCATGATAATATTAATTTATTAGACTTACCAAGTTCTGCCCAGTCATGGAATTTGTGTTCATTTAAATAAGCATTTTTAAGAGCAATATCGTCCACCTAATTGATATAGTATAAAATTTATATACAAATGAAAATAGAGAATATATGTTAATACTATGGTTAATAAAAAATAATATAAATAAGATCAAGATATAATATAAATTTTCCTTCAACGCATTACTGGTAATATACAAATTATATTTCAGCATATAATTTAAAAAAATTTATAATAATCAGCTCTTAAAAAATATATCATGCATAACATACTTGATTTTGAATCATCTCCCAAAATCCCATGAGATCCGAAGGGTGGGTCCTAGGTTTTTGAGGATCGATTTCGCCCGAAATTTCGTGGTAAGATTGATTGATCAAGCTACCAAATTGTTTGAAACGCCCGTTTTTAAACAAATTCATTTGCCCGATTATGGTTCTTATCTCATCCACGGCTTTTGAAATTATAAATATATTTTATATATTATGCCTTACAGAATGGTTAATTCTTGTCCTGTTGTTTCTAAATATATTTTATTTCTTAATTATATGCCTCTTATAATACTCGATTTTCTTCTGTGGCTTATTATTTATTGCCTTTCATTCCCTTCCCTCGGCCCCTTTACTTTCTTCAACTCCAAAAATAGTCCCACCATTAATTATTATTTTCTTCCCTAAAAATTTTTTAGTAAAAACTTTCTTCTTTAAGTTCCTGGTTGTGTTCTTTCAAATAATCTTTCCATTCCTTATTCATATAGTTCATAGTTCTCAAATGGTTCGAATATAGCTCCTGAAACCAAGTCACCTGTTCCAAATCTGATCCATTCTGAGGATAAATTCCTATGGGCACATCAATTTCTAGTCAAAATTAATAATAAATGCATAGAGAATTAGGTAGGGGAGGAACGTATTTTGGCATGAATAAGAATTTAATACTAATAAAATTTGAGGTGATTTTTAGATGGTTTCATAAATAAATTTAGGTTAAAAAGTTATAATAATAAAAAAAATTGTTTCATTAATGTATCATAATCGTTATAGAAATTTATTTTCTTCTCTAAAAAAATAAAGGAACCACGGTCTAAAAAAATATTTAATACAAAAGGATATAAATTTCATTCTCACTCATGCAAAAAATTATGAATTCATTATAATTTTATTTTTAAAAGATACGATATTTTGGTAATGGATAATCATAATCTCTATTAAAATATAATAGATAAACAAAAAAAATCTAAAACGTGATAAAAAAAACTACAATTAAAAGGTAATATACCTCTTCTCTTGGTAACTTCTGGCATAGTGTTTTTAAAACTTTCAAAATCATTTAACTAATAAGTAATTTACCGACTATTTTTGTCTTAAATCTGAAAATATAGTTTATTATTTACTTCAGCCTACCCCTTCTCCCCCCCCCACTCAAAAAAATTGGAGACATGTGGCTTCTACTCCATTTCATGAAGACGCTGGATGCAATTAGGGTTATTTAGTTGGACGATAATCCGGTTTAAATTTTAACCTAAAATCTATCAATCTGATTAATTACCTCCTGGTATATTCTCACGGCAAGTGATGGTAATAATTTTCAAGATATGAAGGAGTTTTAATATTAGATATATCATCTACACAATTCACGAACGTTGACTAATCTAATGAAGAGCTAAAAATTTGGGTTATTTTTTATTAAATCACACTGAACATAATATATGAACCAATTTTCATATATAATGCAAATACAGTTTTCCGGAAAATTGAAATATACTTAATATAGATGTGGACATATAATAAAATTTCATAATTTAAATTGCAAAAAATACGTAAATGTTTTTTATGTCCTGGAGGAATAAAAATGTATAAAAATCAAATTCAAAATTGATATTTTATCCTTTTATATTCAAGTAAAATTAGCATTTTTTTTTAAGTTTGTCTCCAAAAATAAATTTTAACACCCAATCGGTTTTAATGTTTGAAGAAATTTAAAATTAAAAAAAATATAAATTATTTATCTATTAAAGATAGAACATAAATTCTATCAAATTCTAGGAAAGATTTAAGCATTACGAGGGCTTCGACCTTATCCTTCGTTATTAAGCAATTTTTAATAGGCGCAATATTTGTAATTTTATCAGAAATTATCTGACTTATCATAATATTCTTTTATTTGGTTTTATAGGTTTAGAGCTATTTATGGAATGGCTTAAAAAACATATCGTCTTTGTGATTAGTTTTATAAAATAGGGTCAAAAATTCGAATAAATGTATATGTGATCTTTAGGTTAAAACATTTGAAATTTCTATGATATTCCAAAAAACCTTCAGGATTATTTAGGTGGTATATCTTAAATGGAGGATCTATTCAATAGTAAAATATGCAATAAGCTCAAAGGAGTGTAAATCTAATGACATATAATAATAATAATACCTAGGCTGACGATGCATTCATAAAAATGCATTTGAAAGAGTCGTTGAATGCAAATCAACTGGACCCGCCTTTTTGGTAACCCATATAGTAATTAATCTCATGTTAAAAACTACTATTAAATTGATAAATCGCTTCCTTACTATCTCGGTGATCAGACACTACTACTTTAATAAAGTTTACTTCCATAGAAAAATTGGCATCTCGTTTAAAATTATGGGTAACCAAAATGGCGTCCCCAGCTGTTTCTCATTGATGTACACTTTTAATGAATGCATTGTCAGTCTAGGTATTATTATATATCATTGTGTAAATCTCAGTTTTAGAAAGAACCTATATACTAAAATTTTATTTGATATAATAAAAAAATTAACTTTTCGATCTATGTATGTTGTCGATCTTAGAAAACTGCACGGACTGTCCGTAGCCCGACCTGAGCCCAAAAAATTCCCCGGGTTTGGGCTCGGGTTGTAATAGCTCGAAACCCCAACCGAAAACCCGAAAAATAAATATTAATATAAATATCTAAATAATCATTATAATTCATAATGTCAATTATAATACCGTATCATTTTTTTATTTATCACATTTTATCCTTAAAATGTGAATCAGAATGACATGTCATTTTCAATTATTATTTTATAATTTGCATAACAACCATATACCAAATGATCATATTTTAGTGCATTGCATTGCATAGTTTCAAGTTAAATAAAATATATTTTACTAATATCTATTTAATCAAATATCTCATATTTTCATAGAAAAATTATTTCAGCGGATGCCAAATTAAAAAAATTGGTGAGAAGATTAAGAGCAATGAATATGAGGTAAAGAAAAATGCGAATGACATATCTGAGGTCTGGAAAAAGTTTTCATTTATATATGATGAAAACAAAGAAAAACTTAATTATGTAAGTTAAAAAATTTTGCGAATATATATATATGCTTATAATTCTATAACAACAGGTTAGTATATTTATACATATAATATTATTAAAATATTTTAGACACAAATGGGCTAATATGATTAAAGCATTTGAAAATCATAAATAATTGAATTGCTTCTCATTTTTTAAATATATTAAAGAATACCTTTGTTAATAAAAATATTGAATCTAAAGATTCAGAGATATATCAATGTTTTGTTTATTGCAATTGTTACTTATATAAAACAGAGTGGGTATGTTAAATCAACTTTTTATTATATAACATTAAATTTTAGATTAGTTAATCAACTTGATAAAACACTCCATTTGTATGTTGAGACTCGATATGGAATAGCAGACTAAAGATGATTGAATCGATTTTTAATCAATTCAATGAAATATTGGAAATTCTCAGTTCTAGAGGAGAGTCGATTAGGCTCGAAAATATAGATTTTGAATTGGTGAGGGATCTTATCAAGTTTCTGACGAGTTTTAAAATTGCGAGTGATGAACTTGAGGATGATTTACAACACACCATTCACAAAGTTATTGTGTTATCTCAAAAAATTGAGATTTTTAGCACCCAAACTTAAACTCGCAGCTTGACCAGATATCGCAAAGGTACCGGGAAATAATGGTGGATAAATTTCAAATAGATATATGAGAACATTATAAAGATTTGTGTCAACATATTAACACGTTGATTAATGCAGAGAAGATCAACAGATATGATTGGGCAAAAATATATAAATACCAACTCACCATCTAGCTCCTACTCAACTGATAGAGTAGTAAATAAAGGTTCATCAAATTAATAATACAATTATTAATTAAAAAATAATAAAGTAAATATATATCTTTTAAAATTATTATTATATTATGAATATTTTTTTCTTAAGAAAATACTAAGGCAGATACATTTTTGGATGGCTGACAATCCGTTTTCTGATGCTAGCGTTGAAGTTGACGAACTTCAAAAATACTCAGATGCTAAATTATATATTGAGGATAATAATTGATGGAAAACAAGCCATAATGAATTTACACATTTAAGTATTTTGGCTCTTAAATTCTTTCTGCTTCCGGCTAGCAGTGAAAAAGCGTAGTAGCTGGTAGGGCCTTTGAAGGAAAAAGGGCTAGTTTAAAGCCAGATAAACTGGACTCCTCATTATTTATATATTATAATTATTCGCTTCGTGATACTTTGATAATAATATTGATAAGTCATTATGATGTTTATTATTATTTTTTAGTCTCTATATTAACTATTATATTATCTACATTCGACATAAATCCTATTTTTTATATAATCGCAATAATTTTTAAATTCGATTGTATTTTAACTTTTTATAACATTTTTTACAAATTACATAAAATGCAATTTAATATATTTCTTGATTAGACTATGGCAGTCAAATAAACTTTTATTTAAGATGGCGAATAAATTTTTTTTGATTATTATAATATTCAAATTCAAATTTTATTAGGGCTCGGGTCGGGTTGGACTAAAAAATGTGTGCTCGGGATCGGGTCGGACAAAAGAGTTTTTTAAATTCGGGTCGGGTTCGGGCTGCATAAAATTACTTTGCAGACCTCTAGTCGATCTATTGTATATTCGAGTGACCTGTTTCCGAGTATTTTTATGTTATGCTTTTAATTGAAAGATGCTTCATCAAAAAATGAATCAAACTAAAGGACATGATGGTATCACGATTTTGCGGAATACATGAATCCAACCACAAATTAATTTCTTAAAGGTGAGGTTAAATCTTCTAAAATTAGATTTAAAATTTTTATCAAAGCTGATGCAATATCATTTGAACTCCACCCTGAAATCCCCTCTGACCCTATAGCACAATATTCCCTTTTGATGTTATAATGGACTGTAAGATTGTAAGTGTTTAATTTGGAAAAAAAATGAGGATATGATTAAGTTTGGAAGGACCAGAACTTATTCTAGGTCAAAACAGACAACATCGACCTTGGTATTCATTCTACCGAAATTTCGTAGAAAAATTCTTATTATTTACATGCTTGTTATATTTGGATAAAAATTCAATCTCGGACTGTTTAATTTTAAACTCCTCACATAGATCACATCTATCATTTTTTGGTTTATGAAATCCTAGATTAAATCATAATTAAATATTGATATATGTATGTTCTAAAATCGGTTCGATATTTTCTACTCTGCATTTGTCTTGATACAAATAAAAAACCATAAATTTAGAATCTGCTTCAAATAATCTTTATTTGTATTATTTCTTCTGTAGTGTGATTGTATTATATTAAATGATTTTATATAGGCTCTAACCTTTTCCTCATTTTTTCTTTTATAATTTTTTCAAGTGCTTGTCTTTTACATAAAACAAAGGTTATTTCATTTTTTATCAAAAAAATACGAGATCATTTGCTGTGATATATTTAAATTTGAATATGCAAAAAATGAGCAACGTACATTCTGATCAAAAAAAATATTTGTTTTTATTATATCAAATAAAATTTAATATTATAGAGGTCCTTTCTAGAACAGCCCCTTGAGCCTATTGCGTATTTTACCAATTTTGAATAGATATTAAAGGTATTCACCTAAATAATCCTGAAGATTTTTGGGAATATCAAAGAAGTTCCAATTAACTTAAAGAACCCATATGCATCTATTAAACAAATTTTATAGTCAAGAGCACCTTATGACCCTATTTTATAAAACTAATCATAAAGAAGATATATTTTTGAGTCATTCCATAAATAGCCCCAAATCTATAAAACCAAAAAAAAAGTAATATTATGATGAGTCAAATAATTCAGGATATAATTCCAGGTATAGTAATTAGCAAAAATGGAAAAAGTCTATCATCTCAAATTTTTCCCAGAATTTGATAGAATTTATGTTTTATCTCTAATATATAAATAATTAAAAAATTTTACAATAAATTTCTTCAAGCATTATTTATTTTTACAGACAAATTTAAGAAAAAATGTTAATTTTACATGGATATACTATAATAAAATATGAATTTTAAATTTGATTTTAATTCTATCTCCAGGACATAGAAAACATTTACAATTTTTTTGCAATTTAAATTTAGAAATTTTTTTTACACATCTAGAAAAATTATATTGCAATTTTCTGTAAAACTATATTTACGTTATATATGATAATTGGTTCATATATTATTTTCAGTGTAATCTTTAAAATAAAAAACCCAAATTACTAGTTCTTATCGTTTTGAAAATAGGAAGACCATTTTTTAAAAACGCTTTCCCATAAAGTTATAAAATGTGGAGATAGAGTATAATCCTCAGGAGACGATATGATGCAATCTTTTTATAGGAATATTCAAGTGTAGAAAATAGTTGAAAATACCATAATAATAAAACGGCAATTGTAAAACAGAAAATAAATGGATAAAAAAATGTGCATTTTGAAAGAACGTGTCAAGGCTTAATATGACAAGTGTAGTTGTAATATTTAGTCGTGAATTCAATTCCCATTCTAGATATTGTTGCACTTTTCATAAAATGTGACACAAAAAAAACGATGCTTTTTATTATATAAGATTTTAAATTTAATTCTAGTTTAAAAAAAATATTTAAATTCAAATAATTAAAGATTATTGACATTAAATTAGTGTAAATGGGAAAATATAATTATTTATAAAGGATAAAGTACATTTTATTCAATACTATTTATCAAAATAAATAAACGTATATTCTTATTAATAAATTTTCTCTGTTATTTTTTATTGTATTATAAAATTTAAAATATTAAAAAAATCGTGATATTTTAAAAAATTAATTATTTGCTACTACATTTTGACAACATATCATATCAGTAAATATTCAAATAAAGTAACCCATGATCATAAAAAAAAAATTATATAAATCGATTAAAAATCAATTATAGTTAAAAAAATTGAAACAATATAAAAGGGATGTATAATTATCAAAATCAATATTCGATTCGTAAAATAAAAGATTTAAATATTTTTTCTGCCTGTAAAAATATCTCGATTACGAGAGGGCCACCTTCATAGAATTGTAGTCCGCTAGTAAGACCGATGATAACGAAACTTATTCATATGGATCAAGTGAGAAAAAGTCAGGTTATTCACTCTGAAAAATATGCCATTAAAAAAATGCACTCGCATAAATCAGTGAGGAAATAGATATGAAACCCTACCCTATAATCCTTAATCGACCATATATACAATAAAATAGTAATTTACATATATTTCTCTAAAGTAGCATTACTAGGTAAATTATTACAACGTTTGAAAGGTAACTGTAGCGCATTGCTTTTCTTTTGAAAAATATCTTTTAGGATAGATAAACTTGTTCTAAACGCCAATTAACATAATATAACATGATCAAATCGAGTTGAAGGGAGGATTTTAATTTTACTAAAATGTGCAAGCAAAAAAATTTTTGAAATTTATTTTTTGGAACTGTCAAATAAAATGGATACTATCAAATTAATTCTCATTTAGAGGTAATATTGTTTGTGTAAAAATACTCTGGAAGAACTTCCCCCATCTCCCCTAATGATGCCATAAAAGTAAACTATCTTTCAAATAAAAATTTTACGAAAATTGAAAATAAATATTTTTTAATTAATATATAATCAATTTTCTAAATAAGCAGAGCAATAAATAAATATATTATACCCTCTAATATATTTGATCCAGTTTTGATAGAGGTAGCTTTGTTAAAGTCCTACACATAAAAAAAATTAATGTTTAATTTTTTAAAAATTATATAAAGTTTAAAAAAATAATTATAATATAATATTTGTTTTATTGGGATATGGAATCCAAAAGGGATTCGGTTTTTCTCAATTTTAAATCATTATTTAATAAATTTGTAATATATAATTTTATTGACCTGAGAGATTATTTTAAAAATGTTATCCCTTTGCTAAAAATGATAATTAATTACTAATTATATGTAAACGTAATTTAAAGTTATTAAAATTACAATTCCTTTTTATCATATTACATGTTATGATACCCAAATTTTAAATAATATTAACATGCTAGATTAAGACAATCTCAGGGGCTTATAGTTTAAAATTGCTACAGCTTAGGATTAAATTTATTAATTTTAAATTTTTTGTTTAGATCTCATTATATTACCACAAGGAATTATAAAATATGAATGAATAATTGCAAATATTATTCGTTTTATAAATTAATTTTAAAAAATTAAACATTACATGTATAAAGTGTAATTAATTATGATAATTCCTTTTTTTAAAAGTAAAATTGATTACAGTTATTAATTTCCAAAATTGTAATTAATTACTGCCCAACCCTGAACAAAAAATTGGATCTATAATACTTGATAATATTTATTTAAAAAACCTATTTTTTTCTAAATGTCAGCTTGGTTTTGTAATTATTATGCCTGGTTCATATCATTTTAGCTCAAAAGCACTTTCAAAAATCTTTCAAATGCAAAAATTCCTTAGCAAATAATATAAAATCTGAGATTCTAAATCCTTGTGGATTCAATATCCCTATCCTTTATGACATACATAAATTTCATTTGCCAATACCAATACTATATTAACTAATACAACTGATAACAACTTTTCTAAAATAAAATATGCAAATATTTGAAAAAATTGCCTTTAGTATATGAATAAAAATTGTTGTTTTAACATATTTTATTTAGGTTAATTCAACAAAATTTTAAAAGTTATAAGAATCCAGGGAAAAAAATAACAATTTTTTCTTTCTTCATTAGGCCATTTTTTTAAATTTATCATCAGGGTTAATTATTATTTTAGGAATTGATCACTGGTATAGTTTAAAAAATCTATGGTATGGCTAATATGTATTGAGTATTGGTATCTTTGATAAATTATAAGATGAGTATTATAGTATCTATTTTTTTAAAAAACGTTTCAGGAATATTAAAATTTTTTTTGTATTTTAGATAGATTCTACATTATTTATATTATTGTATTGAAGACTAGATTTATCTTAAAATATGCATTTTGCAAAAATGTGAATATAGAATACTATAAACACACAGCCAACAAAATAAGAAGTCCATTGCATTTTTAAAGGTATATTTATTATTAGATTGTAAATATCTTTAATTTAACTTTATTTGTGAGATCATTGTTAATTTTTGATCCGTTTGGAGAATTGTATTTTGAAAATTTTTTGGTAGGTGTTTTAAGCAAGATGTGATTTTTTTGTGTATAAATGGTTGGAATATTTATCTTGGAAGTTTCTTTTGAATAAGAAAAATAGAAGTATGGTAAATATGCAGGCAACAAGGATTATTATTGAATATTATAATAATTTTTTTGCCTATTCTTTTTTTAATTGCAATATTTTGTTGTCAATTTATCAAATTTTATTATACATAAAATTTACTTCTAATATCTTTGTTTAAAATATTACTAAGCCTTGCTGGGGTATTGCGAAAATTATAATGATCACCTATTTTAAATATTATATATATATATATATATATATTTATTTATTTTTATATATAAACTATGAATAGAATCTTGTAAAATGCTTAGGAGCTCTTTTGTTTTACCAGATCGTATTGTTGGTTTTGGTATGGTTTTTTGTTCTGACAACCTTTAAGTTCACATGAATTAATAAAAAAAATAAGTATACTTGAAGGTTCCAAATAATGCTCATTATTAGAGAGAGTTAAAGTTTCAGGTAAATCATCATGTATATAGTGGGTAGTTGTAGTATGCTGAATTATTTGTTCTAGCCTTGTGCTCTCAACTTTTTTAATAGATTTTCCTAATAATTATATAAATATTTAAACTTTATCTATTTAACTTTTAGCTTCTCTTATTTGATTAAGTCCAGTGTCAATCTTAGCCTTTATATCTTTATATTTATCTTTGATCTTATATTCTGAATTCAAAAAAACCATGATAAGATCATATAGGTAAATTATACTTTTATTTATTCTATTTTTGTTTTCACCAACCTATAAGATTTAAATTATAAGATTTTCATATAAAAAAGTTACAAATTCTATGACATTTCCTTTATGGATACTGGATTTAGGGCTAAAATTAATATGTATTTTGTCATCGACATGGTAAAATTTGAACATGGGTTTCTTATTTTTTTGCTCAATTTCTTTGTTTAATCTTTTTTTAATTTTGTATTCATCAAATTTTTTAATAAATTGATCATCTAAAGGATAAAATAGAAATTAAATATCTTAATATGCATAATCAAATTATAAAATTTCAGCATATATTTAACTAACCTTGTTCTATATTTCGTAATCTTGCAAAGATATATTCTCTTTTTTCCTTATCTTTCTCGTAAAATTCTTTTCTTCTAATTTCGATAGTATTTTTAGGCCGTTGTTTAAGGTTATTATTTCTATTCATGAAATGTTTGAAATAGTGTGAAAATTTAAATTTTGTATCAAGTTGTTTATTTGTTGTTAATATGGGATCGATGTTTTATATTACATGTTTTGGGTTGAGCTCAATGATTATCATTGGTTGCAGGCGCGTACGCGGGAATTTGGTCTGGGGGGGGGGGGGGGATAATAAAATTTTTCAAGAAATATTAATGTTTTTTAAAAATATCAAGCATAAATTTATCAGGACTAATAACTATTTCTAATACACAATTTTAAATTAATGTGAATTATAAAAAAATTGTATGTAAAGAATGACTTAAATGACCCAAATAAAAGATTTGAATTTTTTGACTTTACACAAAATGTTTATTAGAAATAATTGCATTTTGTATGTTATATATTTACAATATAAAATCCAATCTTCGTTGTGATTGAGCTAATTTTTCAATTATCTCATTCTTGCTTGTTGTCAAATGCCTATGATTATTCAAAAGATTCAAACCTTTCAATCTATTTTCAGATGTTGTACTTCTTGGTATGTTTTTCAGAGACCTTCAGGCCCGGCCCCCGGGCCGGACAGTATTTTAATTTTTTTAAATATACCGGGGCAGGACCCGAAATTTTTTTAAAAAAACACCCAAGCCGAGCGTGAATTATTTTTAAAAAAACACCCAATCCGGGCTGTATTTTTTAAAACAGCCTATATTTGAAATCAATATTATTAGCTATAAAAATCAAAAATAAATATAATTTATTTTCAAAAAATCCTGGCTGAGCCTGAAAATTTTATTTTAAAAAAAGCCGGGCCGGGCTTGAAAATTTTTTAAAAAAGCCGAGTCATGCCTAAAAAAAATTTTTAAAAAAGCCGGGCCGGGCCTGAAAATTTTTTAAATAAAACCCAGGCCGGGCCTTAAAAAATCTTTAAAAAAAATCCGGGTAGTGCCCTGCAAATGGTACTTCTGCAGGCCTCTGTTATTCTTCTTAAAAAAGAGAGTGTTCTCTCATTAGTTTACTAATGGGAAGAGTTTATAAACCCTTTTAATACATTGAGAATTTAATCTAAAATGTGTTTGAAATAATGCAGAGCATCCATAGCATTTTTTGGGACTATACCAACCATAGTTAATCTTATTAACATAGTTATTCAGCTAGTAAGGCATCATAAGATACTTTAACATCTTCATATGGGAATGCTTTTGTGGAAGTAATATTATGCAGATTAGTAAGTGCTGCATGATGAATTAAAATATACATTTATTTGGGTTATAAATGTATCTGTATTTAAGATATACTCTTCTACTGATCCTATATTAATGTTTTAAGGATGAGCTTGCCTTGTTACAAGTCGAGGGAGACAAATATTAAACATGTATAGCTCTACTTTTGATAATATGAAATTCTTCATCAACATTAGCCCTAATTTCCTTGAGTTCTGATAAAATGCTCTCCGCTATTCTCATCTTCCTAATCAAGTCAATGTCATGTTTTTAAAAAGTAATACTTAAAATAGTTGTATAATTAAATAATACCTTCTAATGAGAAATAAAATTTGGAATAAGCATTGTATCCAATAATTTTCTTGCTTCTGAGGAAATATTTCTTTCAGGCCATGTGATATTTCAGTAATAGCAAATAATTGGCTCTTCTAACTCCTTAAAAGCTGTTACTGCTTGATGGCAGACTATCTCGTTGGACAAGGTTGCTATTTCTTTTTCCCTGTTATTGGACAAGAAATTTCAGAAATAATTATTATTTGACTAGAAATTTGAAAAAGGTAGATAAATATTACGCCACTAAAAATTTGAAAATAATAAGTATATATTACGCCGGAAAACTTGAAATCGAAATTAATTGATAAAATAACTTAGTAGATAAATGTGATAATAAATGTAATTAAATATATATTTATTATGAGATATGAATAAATATTAACAAATATAAATTAATATTTACAATAATATTTTCGGAAAATATATCAGGCATCTGCATTTTTTGGCTTTGGAAGGGGGGGATTTGTCCCCCTGCCCCCCCCTGCTGCTTACGCCAATGATTGGTTGAGCTTCAAAATTTCAGAATGGTATTTCAGTCGATGATGAAAAAATGTTAAATAAAAATCAAGCTTAAAAGTATTTCAATTTTTTTCTAAGATGTGCTTAAATATTTTTAAAAATCTTATTATTTATAATTATCGTCAAGTTTAGATTTCTAAAATGAAGAATAGTAATAATTATTGAGATTCAAGATAATTGATCAGCTAATTATAATTTTCCGATGTCCTCACTACGTCATCGTGACGTCGGGCCATCGCTACGTCATGTCATCGCTACGCCATGTCATCGCTACGTCATGTCATTGGTACTTATTTATTTTTATTTTTTTTATATGTTGATTTTATTTATTTATTTTATACAAACAGATGATTCTACCAACAGTCTTAATTTATTTTTAAATAGATTATATTTTTTATTATTTTTAGCGATTTACTTTTAGCGATTTAGAACGGGAACCATATTTGTTAATAACATTTTATCAGATTTGATTTTGCAAAAATGGATAGATATTTATAAATAACTAGTAGATAGCCCGTCAAAAATTACGGGGAATGAAAATTTTCTTCTTACTTTTATGCATGTTACCTGTTATTTGAAAATAATATCCAATTTTTATTCTTCTTACCCCCTCATCTAGTGTTGTTAATCGACTAAATTTAGTCGACTACAGGTGCGTAACCAATGGGGGGGAAAGGGGAAAATCCCCCCTAGCAAATTTGACTGTTTTCATAAATATCATTTTCTAATAAAAAATTTTACCCTCCACCCCCTAAACCCCCCCCCCCCCAATTAAAATTTAACAAATATTTGAATATCAATTTTCCAATATAAAACTTATTTTTTATAAATAAATTTTATTAAAATTTCCTTTCCTTGTGAGTACATTAACATTATTCAAAAATATTAATAAAATGGAAAATATTTAAGTCAAAGAGATTGAAATCAAATGATAATTTATTTTATTATTATATATAATTATTTTATTAAATTCAAAATTATTAGTGAGTTAGAATTAATAGGTATTTTTAATATTAATTATTAATAAATATCTATAATTTTTTAAATATTTTATTTTACTTCGATTTTGTAGAACAGAAGAAATAGAAATACAAAAGTTAAATAAGGCTGAGCATGAAAAAAAGTAATGTGTCGTCAGAAGCGATATCATTTTTGAATTCAATTGATCAATCAGAGTTTATCATTGCTGCTAGTTGCATCAATAAACTATTTTCCTATAGCTCACTACTTTGTAGAAATTTACAAAAACCAAATTTAGATTTGGTTCAGGTTATTGATTAGGCGGAAAATATATATGAACATGTAGATACAATAAGAATGAATGTAGATGAATATTTTCATAATATTTATATATACTTTGAATCGAAGGCTAAATTTTATGATATAACACTAATTAAACCTCGTCTAGCACCTGGGCAATTATTGAGATGTAAAATAAAAATTGGCTCAACTGAAGAATATTATAAGATATCCACTTTCATCCCATTCTTAGATACTTTTTATCGCAAATAAAAGTACGGTTTTTAGATAAAAAACAAGTCTTTAGCAATCTTCAAGTTTTAATACCCAAAGATCCATCTTCGTTTTCTAATGCCACTATTGGTAAAATAAAATATTTAGCAAAATTTTATTCCTATGATATTGATACTGAAATAAATTTAATCGATGAATTCGAATTGTGGTATAAATATTTACTACGTTTAGCTATTTTACCTGAGCATGCTATTGATGAGCTCAATCGGTGTAAAGAAACCTTGGCTCAAATTCCTAATATTTTGAAGTTGTTTTATATTCTACTAAGTTTGCCTATTATAACATGTACGAATGAAAGGACTTTCCAACTTAAGAAGGTTGAAAACATATTTATGAAGTACTACGAATCTCGGCTAAATGGGTTAGCTCTGTTAAATATCCACAGAGATTTGGTTCCAACGACAAGCAAAATTCTTGATGAATTGGCAACATTTTTGATGAATTGGCAACATTCCCACGAAAATTAAAAATCACATTATAATTATAGTAGTTAATAAAAAAATTTGTATATAGTCAATATTTTATAGTGTTGTTAAACGCCTCGTTTTGAGCCGATTTTTAAAAACAGCTATCACAGTTATTTATCCAGAAAAATATTATGCCAGCCTGAAAATTTTGCTCATAGAAGGAGCAAAGGTCTAGACATATAGTATCAAAATTTCGAGGCATAGTTATTATTTTTCTGACAAAAATATTGAGTTAGCCGTTTTAAAAAATCGGCTCAAAACGAGCCGTTTAACAACATTAATATTTTATACACACTACTATTAGTATTTTCAATAAAAAATTATATTATACTTATATTGTATGAGAATTTAAGCTGAGGCTAGTTTTTAAAGCAAATTTTATAAAAAAATGATATTATACATTATTTCAACTTTACACTTAAAAAACTTTATTAAATATAATATACCTAACTAAAAATAATAAAAAATAGGCTTGTAATATCCATTAGCACGAATTAGTAAGTAATAGTTACAAATAGAAATATAATTATTATTAAATTATGAATAATTTAATGGAATAGCTAAAACATAAGACCCGGCCGAAGGCCTGGGGAAAGCTGGGCGAAGCCCCCAAAAAAATCCCCCCCCCCCATAATAAAATCCTGAATACGCCACTGGTCGACTAAAACGACCAATTTAGTCAACTAAAACGACTAATATAGTCGACTAAAGAACTAATTAAGTCGACTAAAAGAACTAATTAAGTCGACTAAATTAAGTCATAATCGTTATTTTTGAACTTTGTCATAATCATTAATTTTTAACTTTTTAGAATTTTTTCAAAGCAAATAGGTAAAAATATATATTGTAAAAATATTAAAATAAAATTTCAGTGAAGATTTACCAAAGAAAAGTGACAATTGTCATAATCGTTATTTTTTTACTTTTTTATAAAGTAAATAGGTAAGAATATA